AAACCAACACCTCCAGCATACTGTACAGATTCTGTCTATATACTCAAAAGTATATGCATTTCAATCATATTAGGTAATGTCCTAGCAGAGTGCACTGTAAAAAAAATCTGTTGCTGCCTTAAATATTAAGTATAATTAAATTGGCTGTACAATTGAGCTAAATCTTGTATAACATAAATTAAATTGCTTAAATTATTATTTTTAAATAATAATTTAAAATGACTTTCTTTGATTTTTAAGTGAAAGTAATGAAAAAACGTATTCTGACATGGTTTACTGAAATCATTTTTAGACAGTGTAACTATAGTAATGCTTGACAACTTTTGGCTTGATACTTTATCTAATGCAAAGATATTTATACATTAAAGATCAATGACTGAGATGATGCAAAGGAAACCTGATTTTAAACAACAGATTTTTAGAAATATCATGTTTGGTTTTAAAGTATTTTGAAAAAATTCACTGACCCTTAATTGTTCAAATACTTTTTGAGGTCATTTTATATGAATGCAGTAGTGTTAATTTTGTCAGCTGTTTTCAATTTTAGTCTTGGTCTTAGTCCCGTGTTAAATGTCCTTGTTAGTTTTTATCCTATTTAGTTTTAGTCGACTAAAAGTCTCAACATTTTAGTCTAGGTTTAGTCAAAGAAAATCTAAAGTATTTTAATCTAGTTTTAGTCAAAGAAAATCTAAAGTATTTTAATCTAGTTTTAGTCAAAGAAAATCTAAAGTATTTTAATCTAGTTTTAGTCAAAGAAAATCTAAAGTATTTTAGTCTAGTTTTAGTCAATGAAAACTTGACATTTTAGCAATAAGATTATTATTAATTAACCGTAGACCTACAGCAGTATTAATTTTGGCAACCATTTGTAACTTAGTGTTAGTCTTACTCAAATGTACATTTTAGTTAACATATTTAGTCAACCTTGTCCTGTTTTTGTTTAGTCAAGGTTAAGTCAACAAAATGTATGAGCATTTTAGTCAGATTTTAGTCAATTAAATCTTGGTCACATTTTTGTCATGCTGTATAATGGTTAAACTGATAAAAAAGAAAACCTGAAGTATTTTAGTCTAGTTTTAGTCAATGAAAACTTGACATTTTAGCAATAAGATTATTATTAATTAACCGTAGACCTACAGCAGTATTAATTTTGGCAACCATTTGTAACTTAGTGTTAGTCTTACTCAAATGTACATTTTAGTTAACATATTTAGTCAACCTTGTCCTGTTTTTGTTTAGTCAAGGTTAAGTCAACAAAATGTGAGCATTTTCGTCAATGAAATCTTAGTCACATTTTTGTCATGCTGTATAATGGTTAAACTGATAAAAATTATTTTTGCTCATAATTATATTTTTAATGATTGTTGTCATTTGTATCATTTTGATCATTTGATTGTATATTGTGGTATTGCACTTTCACAAGTAAGCACAAATCAATAGAATGTGAACTCATAGGCCTACATGGTTTATTTTACCTCATCTAGTGTAGTGATTTAATTATTGGCTTTTTATTATATATATATATATTAATACCAAAGACTTATGCGCTCACTCTATCTACATTATGAAAACTGGTAAAACAAATGGAAAATATTATAACAGTGAAATTCCTTGTAATTCCACAAATTCCAAATTGCAATAGCATTTTTCTCTATTAAAACAACAGCGGTTGAGTAAGTGCATTTATTCAGCCACCACAATCGCAAACAATATAGTCGAGATCTCATGAACACAGATCGGTTGTTTGACACTTTCATTTATAATTTAGATTGCTAAACTCCAGCTTGTTTGTCGCTGTTTTCATATCATCGTCGGCGGCGCTTCTGCAATGAGGAGCGAGCGCGTGCGCATGGTTGCCAGATTGCTTAAAATAAGCAAAACCTGTAAAACACCGGTCAGAAAATTTATCCTTGTAACAGCGAAGCTCTGATTCGGGGATTTGAACTCTTGATATCTGGCAACCGCACACATGAAAGCTCGCATAGAGGAGTGTACAGCAGTCTGCAACAACATTTTGTCTCCTTTTTGACGAAAATAAAAAGATTTATTTTTTGAATGCATTTTAGTCTCGTCTTATTTCGTCAACGAAATTGCATGTTGATATAGTCTTAATTTTTGTTTATCGACCTTCTTGTCGTCTCGTCTTAGTCATGGGAAAAAAGTTTGTCAACGAACATTTTTCGTCATAGTTTTCGTTAACGAAATTAACACTAGAATGCAGCACACAAACAAGTGGTCTTTGATTTGATGACTTGTTTTGAAGGGCAGGATAGTCTTTGTGAAGGGATGTGAAAATAGAAGCTTCTCAGTGTAGGCTGACAGTGCAGTTTAACGCTATGAGGTTAATTGATGTGTCTCTCCCGGTGAGATTTCCTCACCTCAGAATACTGCTGGAGAAAGAGACGTGCATGTCCTGACATGCCGAGCGCTCATCAGCAAAAGCACCCAACATAAATGCACAATTTACACCTACAGCAGGCATCAACCATCATTCAGTCTGAGAGCAGTGATGTAGCAGCTTCAATGTTATTTGATTTGATTTTAGTTTAGTTTTGTTTTGCACAATATAACAGGCATCAACCATTAGTCAGTTTAAGATCAGTGATGCTTTGGCAGTGATTGTCACAACCGAGCAATAAAGGAGCAGAATCTCACATTTTACAGTTTTACTGTTAATGCAGTGAATACTTTAATATTTAATGTCGAGCTACTTTGAAATGGTTTCTTTTTTATGAAGTTATAAAATTTGAAGCCCAAAAGGATTTTTATTTTATATTTCTCAAGGAGAGCTGTTATGTTGACCATATGTTGTGTTCATAATCAACTTGTCATACAGTTTGTTATGAAACAGCACTGATTCAGTATATTAATCACAATTAAGGAGTGTTGGAAAGTGTGTGTGTGTGTGTGTGTGTGTGTGTGTGTGTGTTTCATCATTGCTCTTGCTGAGTCATTTGTCTTAGAGGCAGTAAAGCCACCTGATGTTTTGTACGCAGCAGGTGTGTGAAGCACTGCATTATTATGCCTGATTATCCCACTGATTCAAAGCTATTGAGCAGCAGTTTAAATCAGACTTATTATTTAAAAGCTTGGTTTATTAGTTCAGTCTGCACCCGTGCACTGAGCGGCAGGCCTAAACAGCACTACTAACTTTCACATTTTCTGCATTTTTACAGAATATATTTTAAGACCCTGTACTATCCAATACACTATTTTATTTTTACTTTAATTTATTTAATTTTTAATTTGAACTTTTAGGTCAGCTATATACTAGTGTATGTATAATAGTAAACAAAATAAACTTTTAGTAGATATATTAGTCTTTTCCAGGATGAGAGCGCCAGTCAGACTTATCATTTAAATTTTTTTATATGATCCATTTTAAAGCCCATTAAAATTACATAAAAAACTACATAAAAATTAAATTTTTTTGCCATTTTTAAGCTTTTTTGGTCATCCATGTGCTAGTGTAAACATGCTAAAAGTAAACAAAATATGCTTATATACACATTAAAATGTACAGTCCTTTTCTTTCAGGAATTTTTTTTTAATTTTTATTTTATGCTAGAGTAATTCTAAAAGTTGACAATTGTTTTGTAGATACACATATTAAAATGTACAATCTTTCTCCTCCAGGAAAATGAACCAAAAATACTGTTGACTCATCTTGTCCACGGAGTTATATTTAAAATTTTCATGGTTTACGTGTTCCGTATTTCTGTTGAAACAAGTACAGAAGTAACCAAGTAACCAAAATTGCAGATCTACTCATTTCATGCGGCCTGTAAACATGGTCAAATGTTACTGCTGTATTCTTTTTGGTAGTAGAAAAATCAGATTAGCCAAATTGTTAGCCTGGTGGATGACTCTGGTGCTTGTGTCTGTTTGTCTCTGAGCAGTAATGAAAGAGAAGGCATTCCTGAAAATATCGGTATCGTATCGAAAACAAAATAAGTGGTATCGCCCATCCCTACTGCAAACCTGCTGCAGCTGGTGGACGTGTGTGTGGAGATTCCTCAGCACGTTGTCACCCGCTCCCTCAATGTGCACGTCAGCGCCGCCCTGCTGGTGTGGGAATATACACGCCAGCATTTAGGACAGAACACTGGCTCGTAAAACTACAGAACAGTTTTCTGTGTTTTAGCAGAAAATATCTGTCAGTATTTGGGAGATTTGCGTTGCACACCACTTTTTCTAAGGAAAAGGCGTGTTTACGCAAATCAAGTACGTCATAAGAGGCATTTTGCTTGACAAGACTTCCCAAATTTGATTAGAAAGATGGAAAACCGCAGCATTCGTGTTTAAATATGACTTCCAGATAGACTCTGTCCATACTACCATCTGTTGTTCCTTTTTCTCTCCTTCGAGTTTTTATTTTTTTACTCTGTATTACATTTAAAAGTGATGTTTGATGAATTTGTATATTATCTTATATTTTAATATTGCTTTGAATTTAGGCTAAATAAAGAGTTTCAAAAACATTTCTATCTCAGAATGAGTGCCTTGTTAATATTTAATTCGTATTTACATGAATCATATTTGTTCCCACACATTTATTATGGAAAAATGCAATGCAAAAGTGACAGTTAATTACATCCATAACTATTGTAAACCCTTGCGAAACTAACTGTCTGTGCAAATGAACCAGATATTCAACTGGTCTGTTTTCTCTTGCTGTGTAATTGGCAAGTCAAGCGTTTGATTTTCCATGTTGTCATCGCTGTAGATAAACCGCTGGTTGATGGAGGGACCCTGGAGATACTAAACTGCACTGTCAGGTGCTCACGGCAGATGAAGAACCAGAGAGCAGTGAGAAGCAAACTGTCTGCTTTGTGTGTAGATGAGTTGTTTTGATTGAGTATTGTAATATATTCTCAGGCATTTTTCATTATGATGGAAAATTTGTTTATTTAAAACTGTAAATGGCCAGGTTGCTTGTGGCGCACATGAGATCAGGTTCCCTCTTCAGAGAGTTTCCGTATCGGATTGAATGTTTTTAAATGGAGTCCTCTGCTCAGGAGTGGTTTGATTCAGATGAGGCTGAGTTTCAGATGCGGACGGCGGTGAGGAACTCGACGGTTTTGTGGCCTCGGGCGCGTCTGGTGCTGGAGACTCTGATGGTGCTGATGAGTCTGGGCGCAGTGATGGGTGAGCAGTACTCAACAAGACAATTCATTAATGTCTGTGAATGTTAGAGTCGTCATGTGAACAGGAGAAAGTTTTGCATTTGATTTCTAACAATATCTGAGGAATTAATAGGGTATAAGTAAGTTCAGATGATTTGTTCATTTCTATTAGTTGTAACACGGAAAAGGGAATATTTAAAAAGAATACATGTTGTGAATATTGTTTTCATTGATAATTAAAATAATGCTAACAAAATCCATAGCCCTTATAGAATGTGACAATTTTGATGAGAAACAACACAAACATTAGTGTTAGCAAACAATTTGATGAATGTTGTCATGTTTTGTGGCGTTATGTGGTTAAACATTCCACTTTATTAGATTACAGAAAATTACAGAAATTAGTATGATAATTTTAGAATTTTAAAGGATTACAAAAAATATTTTCTTATTTTGGTTTCCCAGTAAAAAAAAAAAAAATTCTAAACATCCATGAAATAATTTGAAACACTTAAAATAAGTTTCTGTGAAAGAAAACTAAGATATTAAGCCTTGTTTTCAGAGAATATATCTTGAACTAAGATTATTTTTCATGGAATTTCTTGTTTTGTGCAGGAAAATGTAATGTAGATGTAGAGGTTTATGTTTGTTTATATAGAGCTCATTATTTATTGCATAACAGGAATGATTCATTATATAGTAGGATAGATCATTGGTTATTGTCCAAGCGTGATTGATGATGAACTACTAATATTTTTATATAAAATGTTACCAACAGTAATTCTATAGCATTTATGAAAAAAAAGAAATAAAAAAACATAAATCAAAACATACTTTGCTATGAATTTCAGAACTGAGAACACTTTACTCAGTCCAAAAAATTATAATAATATAATATAATCACATAATCTATAAAAAATATTTATTATTATTTTATAAACTGCATATAAAACTTTATTTATCATTTTATTGTGCTTTTGTTCTTTCTTGTCAGGAAACATTCTGGTTATTGTGATTGTTGCAGCCACCAAAACCTTCCACACTGTGACCTCCGTCCTCATCATCAATCTGGCCATTAGTGATTTCTTAGTGGGAATAGGAGTAATGCCATTTGTGGCTGTTTCCATTATGAACAACGGATGGGTCAACTGCAATGTAAGTAGGAAATTATTTACATTTCACATTTATTTACATAGTGCTTTATACATACAGAAGGTTTCAAAGCAGAATCAGGGTTAGTAAACCGGAAAATCAGTGTTAATGCTGTAAAATCAATCAATTATGAAACAAGTTCAGTTCAGCTATAAGCTGCTCTACAGAAAGCAATAGTGTCAATGTTGATTTAGTTCAGTTCGATTTCAGTTTTAATGTTTCAAAGTTAGTGTCTAGCTCAATTCCGAACAAACATTATTTTTCATCTTATAGTGTCAATAAAGTTAAATTGATCATATTACTGAATGTTAAATTTCTTTTAAACATCATCAAACATGAATACCTTAAAGGGGAAGTGTGTAATTTCCCAAGTCCTAGCACCACCAAACAGAATTGCAAAAGTAATCACTGTTTCCAAACAACCC